CAGAGCTGTTCCTGTAGCACAGGTTCTGATGAGAGTCCTCCATCCTTCTAAGAGGTGATGATCAGCCTTTCTGTTCCTCTAACTCTTGTTACGTTCTTCAGAGGGTGGATGAACATGATGAGACGTTCCAGCAGCCAGCTGCAGATACTGTTGTAAACCTACACAAAGGCCCTAACAGTGTCACCTCTGAATCCTGCAAGAATGATTGTATCTATGAAAACTTCACCACAAGCCCCCTAGATAATGATCTCATCTATGCAAACACCATCCAATAAGAGGCTTCAGCATGAAGGAGATTCAAGGATCAAAAAACTACAGGCTGCATCTTTACCAAGCGTCTAACAACACAGAGTTTCTCCAGCACAGGCATTAGCCCAGAAGCTGGAGTTCACACTTGTCTTATTCCTGTGGCCCATATCTTTGTAAGAAATTAATTTAATCCAATCAGAGGAATTTCAGCAGGCAACACAAAGACCACATTTTTTCCAAGATGGTGCCACAGGGATAGCAGCTATTTGCAACAGTTCTGGGGTCTAATTTATAAAACTTTGCGTAGAACTCATACTAAAAGTGTACGTGCGCTCAAAAAAGGAAAATGACATGCACAAAGGAAATGTCATATTTATGAAAAGATGCGCACGCACACGTGCAAGCGATATAGTCAGCCCTCATGCATTTGCGAATTCACAGATCCGCGAAAATTTCATTCTATTGTTTTTCATAAAATATTTTAATGTGTGTATGTCTTTTTGTTCTCTCTCTCTTTTTCGTGATTGGCGCACACATAGTATTTTTACAACTTCTTAAAGTAATCTTTAAGTAATTTTCAATTGATTGAATACATGTACCCTGTACGTAAAGTACATTTTTCCTTTACGTATTTTATTGAATTGTACCTCGGTTACGTATATGACTTATGTCAATGAGTTTACAGTCCCGTTCGTTTACTCATTTACCTTAGTGTGAATGCAAAAGAAAATGGCAGCCAATGCCGTGTTCTATGAATTATTAGGGGTAACATTAGTATACTGTACTGTAAATGTGCTAGTGTAACAAATATCCGTTAGGCGATACTGTACTCTATTTTTACATCAAACATTAGGTTT